TCCTTCTGGCCCTTGTCACTGGACTCCTGTACTTCGTTAGTCTCATTTGGTTTTACTGGGCTGTCCACTCCCAGGCTGAACAGTGAACCTTGGAGGTAACTTCACCACTGAGCTAAAAAGGTGTCTGGGGGCCATACTCTCGAGGTTTCTCCAGTCTCCTTTAGGCCAGTAAATCTGGTCTTTTTAAAAATCAGGACTTTTGCTGTATTAATACACATGAAGTGGAAACCAGGTAGATGAGTTTCTGTTTTTACTGAATCCATCTGGTAAAGAGAAGCCAATACAAGGTAATAATGTTTTGTTATCTGCAATGCCAGTTTTCAAATGATTGTTTTTCTTGGAAGTAACTAAGCTGTTGGGGAAAATTAAACACTGAGATTGGGGTTCTAGTGACTGCATTAATAAAACAAAGAAAATACATCATTTTTATAATTACCTACAAAACATACTGATAGCCTTCTAACATTACCGATGAGACATTGTTGATTAGGGCTCGGTAATTTCACTCTCACATGAATTGAGGATTACTAACGGACGGATGATAGCACCATGATTACTAGCGTCTGAATCTTCTGTTTATTCTTCAATACTATTAAGCATTCATTGTCACAGCAACTCTTCCTGATGTGAGTATGTGGTAGGCACTTGACATATCCCAGTTGATTCATGAAAACCTGAGACAGAAGATTGTGATTCCAATTATGTAAATTTAAGGTAAGAAATACCCACCCAATCTACTAAATTGCTGGTAATTGATGGTGTAAACCTAACGTTAATTAGCTAAATAGGTAACTCTACTATGTTATTTCAAGGCCCACCAGCTAAACTGCATATATCACATTTTAAAGACTTAGTTTACGAAGCATTAAGGGTTCTTTTTCAGATAAAACAGGAGCATGCAGTTAATACTGTCTAAGATCATTTATGTGACACCTGCTATGCATCCTGCAGTGTCTTTGGTAGTTTATAAGCATTTCTGTCCTTACCTTTACAGTATCCTTACAAGGCAGATAGGAGTATCCACATTTTACGGATGCCTGAGAGAGCCACCTGACTTGCCTGAGGTCACACAGCTGCTAAAACGGGAACCAGGGTTTAAACCTAAGTTTATCCCTAAAATTCTCAATTTCCATCATCAGTGGTTCCCATATAAACATTAAGCTCTAGCTCTAGGAAAATAAGTAATATGGCTGATGTATCTATTATTAATTTTCATGTATAGATAGATGTTCTGTCTATGATTAATAAAATTGAATCAGTAATATGTAGAGTCATTTTCTTAACTAGTAAATACTAAAACAGTTTCTGTTTTAGGGATCTCTGAAAAGTCTAGGCTGTTGCAATGAATCATATTGCTTCAGTAGAAACAACTGTGAAATGACCCTCCCATCCTTTGCAAAACACAGCTTCTTGAAGCTAGTTAATGAGAATTTAGTTTAAACTTTGTTGTCAGAAACAACTTTTGATTAAAAAAAAAAAAAAGCCTATAAAGAATAGGAGGCATAGGTTTGTCAGCAGTAGAGTTCTTGTGTCCCATGCAGGAGACCCAGGTTTGATTCCCAGCCAGTGCACCTCATGGGTAGCCACCACCCATCTGTCTGTGGTGGCTTTCCTGTTGCTGTGGTGCTGAACAGGTTTCACCCGAGCGTCTAAGACTGCGGCGGACTAGGAAGAAAGGCCTGGTAATCTACTTCAGGAAATCAGCCAAAGAAGACACTACGGATTATAATGGTCTGATCCACAACCAATCATGAGGATGGTTCAGGACCAGGCAGCTTTTTGTTCATTGTTCACGAGGTCACCACGAGTTGGGGGTCAACTCGACGGTAGCTAACAACAACATAAAGATGTAAAGGATAGCAAGTTGAGAAGGACTGATGAAATCCTTAAGCAGCACAGATGAGAAATCCTTGCATAACTTCACTTACCCTATCACTTAGTTTAGAATCCTGAATAAGATCTAGTCTGAAGAAACTGTATGTAAATATATTGTTTTTAATGATGCCAGAGAAGCAGTTGTTAATTGCTTGACTTGCCCCTAGCTTCTTCTGAACTGATCTGTACAAATCATGTGGAAATCTGAAAAATGGAAATCTTATGC